GTCTGTTCGGAGTGGGGTTGGGGTCAGGTTATACCTCCTGGAGGAGGTGGTATTGTTTACTATAATGATACCTTGTAGTTTCATCCCTTAACATTCATCGGGCTTTAGTTTTGTTTAAAGTGTTGGGTCCTTTCTTTCAGATGGTTCTGATTCCAGAGATAAACCAAAGCTGTATCGTTTGCAGTTAAGTGTGACTGAAGTTGGTACTGAAAAATTTGATGACAATTCCATTCAGGTGAGGAACATTACTTGAGACAAGGGAAAGGAAAGAGTTTCATGTAAAAAACCATGCAACTATAGGAAGCAGAATGATAAACTTGCATACTATGTAATTTCCTAAATTTTACAACCTAGACATAAGCAGTGGGTTGTATTCTTCTACTGTGTTCTTGCAGTGTGGTCCTTTGGCATGAGGCGCTAATGCAAAAGGCTGATAAGATCCAACACAAGATTGTTAAACATTACATTGTAATCCCCATACTGACTTTGGTTTTTTAAAATAATAAGAGTGTTCTAAGAAAAATAACAATAGGAGTTTTAAGTTGGGATGTGGTAAAGTTCTGTGCAGCAAAAAAAGTGCTGAGAATTAACACATTTACAGATGCCTAGTTGAAACTTACACTGTAGCACTAGGAAAATCATCCCTGATGCCTCAGCCAGTAGCGGTTTGATGGCAGACATATTTTGATTCTTTACAAGATTTATAATTGTTATATTAATTTTGCACATAAACACAATAATTTTTACAAACCATCTATCATTCTTATCAGCCTGTCCTGTGTTAACCCCCAACTTTGAGCTATGGACACTGCAAGGTAAGTATGTTGGAAAATTTAATAGGCCACTCAGTAAAGGAATGACTGGAATGTATAGTTCATTGCAGGTTTGCTACAGTCTATGGCAGGTTTATTTTAATGAAATTTTTCCTTTTAGTTCAGAAATAGTTAATCTTGAAATCCAGTTTCTTAGTTTATTGGAGCCAAGGGTATATGGAAACTACTGTAAGCTTTTGAAACTCTTGGTTTTAGCTTGGTTTCTTTTGAGTTTTGATAATGTGTGTTTTCAGTTGTTTGGTCCAGGAATTCAACCTCATCACTGTGACCTCACTAATATGGATGGAGTTGTTACGGTTACTCCAAGAAGCATGGATGCTGAGACATATGTGGAGGGTCAGCTGATTTCAGAGACCACTATGCTGCAAAGTGGTATGAAGGTTCAGTTTGGGGCCTCTCATGTATTTAAGTTTGTGGATCCCATTCAGGATCATGTTCCTAAAGGACGTCTAGACACAGGACATATGGTCAAAGGATCACGACACAAAGCTGGGTAAGTAATGTTGTTATCATTGTCAAGGAAGAACCCACCGTTAATACTCTTGCTCCACTTTGTGAAATCTTCTGGAGTTTGCATGATTTGATAATTAAAACTCTGTTAGAAGACTCCATTAGTCCTGCAAGAGAAATAATATATCCTAATAACCTTTTATTGAAAGCAGCAACCTATGCATAATTTATACATACCAATTTATTGTCCCAAAACTGCAATACAGGTATTGATTTTATATTGGTTATATAATCTAGAGACTGGCTGAAAAAGAATTTTAACATAGAAATGACAAATTTGTAAACATTAAATTATTTAATATAGGTAAGTCCAAAACAGGCTCAGAGGTTAAGATGCTGACCTGCAGACCAAAAGGTCTGTAGTTTGGCAGTTTGATACCAAATTATTCATAATAATTAAATACCAAATTATTCATAATGGTGAAAACCAAAGTAGATTGTGAAGAGGTATAGAAGGATTTATCAGAATTGGGTGAGGGGCAGTAATGTGGCAAATGAAGTTCAATGTTGGCAATTGTAAGGTGATGGGTTTTGAACAGGCTGAGACCAAGATCTTGAGGATAACTCAGTGAAATCTGTAGCAGTGGCAAAAAAGGGAAGCTCCATATTGGGGATTATTAGGAAAGGAACGGAGTATAAAATGGCAGGTATTGTAATGACCTTGTATAGAGCCATGTTGTGGCCTCATTTGGAATAGTGTTTACAGTTTTGATCACTATATCTCAAAAAAGATAGTGCAGAGCTGTAAAAAGTACAGAGGACAACCAAGATGATCAAGGAGCTGAAGCACCCTTTTCTGTGAGAAAAAGCTGAAGAGGTTTAGGACTACTTAGCTTAGAAAAAAGACAGCTAAGGGGTGGGCATGATTGGAGGTTTGTAAAACTATGCATGAGGTGGATACAGGGAGCTTTTTCTCCCTGTCCTATGATACTAGAACATGGGGGCTCCCAATGAAATTGGATAATAGGTACAGGAGGGACAAAAGGAAATGCTTTATTCAATAAATAAATAAATTGTGGAATTCACTGCCAGTGGAGGTTGTGATGGCCACAGTCATATATGGCTTTAAAAGAGATTCATGGAGGACAGGTTCATTGATGGTTACTAGTCATGGTGAGTAAAGGGAACCTTCATATTCAAAGGTAGTAAACCCCTGATATCCAGTGCTAGGACGAAACATCAGAAGAAGGTCTTGGCCTCTGTGCCTCGTTTGCTGGAAGGGCAAGTGGTTGGCCACTGTGTGAAATGGTATTCTACACTAGATGGGCCACTGGTTTGATTGAGTAGGGCTCTTCTTTATGCTTAAGGAGATACTACCATCAATCAAGTAGGGTCTTTGAATAATTCTGAATTGTTCTTTAAAGTTATCACAATGTTGTTGCTGTCATCCAACAGTCAGTATTATTGATTAAGGAAGCGCATCTGGAGGCTGCCAAGAAAACTTTCTATATAGCCTCCGTAGTGTCTGCTAGCTCTTGCCCAGCCCAATTGTTTAGAACTATTCAGTCTTTGACTTCATTGCCTCAAGGAAAACCAAATGATAAGGAATTGGCCATTGGCTGTGAGGCATTTGTGAGCTTCTTTGCAGATGAAGTCTTATCATTCCACCAAGACCTACCGACCACAATTGATACAATAATGGAACTGGAAGCTCCTTGCCTGTCTTCTGGTCAGGTTTTGGACCACTTCAGTTGGCTCTTCCAGGAAGGAATTGACAGGATCCTGGGAGCTGTGAAGCCCACCACTTGCCTTCTTGATCCATGCCCTTCCTGACTGGTCAAGGCCTGCTGGGAGAGCATTCGGACCTCCCTGGGAGATATAGTCAATATATCCCTGTCCTCAGGGATCTTCCCAGCTGGTTTAAAGGAGGCAGTGATGCGTCCGCTCTTGAAGAAGCCATAATTGGACCCTACGGTCCTTGCCAACTATTGCTCAGTTTTGAACTTACCATTCCTGGACAAAATGGTGGAGAGGGTCATGGCAGAGCAATTCCAGATTTTCCTGGATGACACTGCTGTCCTGGATCCCTTCCAGGCCAGCTTTTGCCCTGGCCAAATGATGGAGAGTGCACTGTTCGCCCTCACAGATGACCTTCAAAGACAGCTGGGTTGAGGTGGGTCAGCACTGCTTTTACTTCTTGACTTCACAGCAGCATTTGACATGGTTGACCATGATCTCTTGGCCCACGGGGGCTGCCTACAGTGGCTCTCCTCTTTCCTTTATGGTTGGGGACAGAGGGTGGCGCTTGGGGAAGTATCTCCCAGCGACATCCACTAATATCCTCTCCCTGATGCTGTTTAACATCTATATGTACCCCCTCACTTAGTTGGCCCAAAGGTATGGGCTGGGATGTCATCAGTATGCTGATGATACCCAGCTCTATATGTTGATGGATGTCCTGCCAGACTCCGCACTGGAGGTATTGAACAGGGCATTACAGGCTGCAACTGGGTGGTTTCAACAGAGTTAACTGAAACAGAATTCAACGAAGACGGAGGTCCTGTACCTAGACTGTGGGAATCTAGTATCGGAAATCCAACTCCCAACTCTCGACAGGTGCCATCGCCAAGGGTGACGAGTTTAGGATGATCCTGGATGCCTCCCTTTCTAAGGAGGCCCAGGTGGCCACTGTTGCCTGATTGGCTTTCTATCACCTCCAGTTGGTCAAGCAACTGGTTCCCTATCTCTTTTCAGGACTTGTCTACAGTGACCCATGCAATGGTCACTACCAGATCGGATTATTGTAACTCACACTACACAGGGCTAGCCTTGTACTTGACCTGGAAACTGCAGCTAGTGCAGAATGCAGCAGCATGGGTGTTGACAGTGACGTCTGTGCAGGTGTGCATTCAGCCCATGCTGCACCAACTGCACTGGCTGCCAATAGAGTACCGGTCCAGTTCAAGGTGCTAACCTTCAAAGCCCTATGTGGCCAGGGACTCGCATACCTTCGGGACCACCTATCCCCATATGTGCCCTGCACAGTCCTATGCTCCAGCGATCAGCATCTCTTAGCTGTCCCTGGCCCAAAGGACATCTGACTAGCTTCAACCAGAGCCAAAGCTTTTTTGGCCCTGGCCCCTGCCTGGTGGAACAAGCTCCCATTTTAGATCAGGACCCTGCAGGATCTGTTACAATTCCACAGGGCCTGTAAGATAGAACTGTTCTGCTAGACTTTCGGTTGAGGCATTGGACATCCAAATCCATTTTAGCCTCCCTTGCTGACAGCACTGATTTTCTTAATCTGGCGAATTATCCAGTGGTGCCACTCTGAAATGCTTCCGTTTGACCTCTCTTATCAAGGCATGCTTGCTCTGACTTGCTGCACAGTTGATTTATTGTTAAACTTGTATTTATTGTTATCGTTGTTACGATCTTTATGTGACTTTGTAACCTGCCCTGAGCCCACTTGTGGATAGGGTGGGATAGAAATCGAAGTAATAAATAAATAAATAAATAAAATCTGTGTATTGCTGTATTGTAAATTTGTGTCACTTGTTAATAGCTCTATGAAAACCCAAGACAAATATGTTTCTGTCTACTGTGTTTCTGTGTTACATTTCTATCTACTGCATGTTGCTAACCAACACATTCTGAAGATATGTTGTCTTTCCAGAGCTGTACAAGAAACAACATTTGATTTGGAGGGAGATATCCATAGTGGAACAGGATTACCTGCAAGTAAGGTAAGAAATTGTCACTAGATTTTAAAAGGTAGGCTTGAATCTAAACTCTTACAAATGGGAGGAATTGTGGAACAAGATCTTTTCTGCCTTCTGCAAACTCTTTCTGCCTATAAAGTAGTTGCTGAGGATTGGAGAACTCTCCTGAAGAAGATGTCACGCAGCATAAGGTTGTGTCAAGGAGAGGTTATTGAACAGTTCCCCCCTCCCTATATACACACTGTAGTTTTACACTGTCTAGAGCAAATCCTTGAATAAGAATGTGCAGTTTTTCCTGATATTCCCTCTCCTAGTTGCAGCCCCACATTCTGCGTTAACATATTGTTTGGAAGGGTCCCCTGATTAGCAGAAGTTCCGGTCCTGCCAAGGAGAGAGGCAGAAATCTGCTTCCTCAGACTCCTTCTATTCCCTATTCCTTGCCTATTTTGATTCAGCCTATAATAAATAGATATAATTTTGAGTTTATATTTCAAGTGCATCAATGGATACTTAAGTATACATTTCAGATGTGCTAATATATACTTAAAATCTCAATCACATTTCTGCATAAGAACACTAATTTCCATAGTACATGCCATAGTGTCATAAAACAAAGTTAGAGTCCAATGTGTCACCTTTAAGACCAACAAAGTTTTATTCTGATGAAGTCTGACAACGTGTGTGTGTGCACATGAAAGCTCACACCTTGAATAAAACTTTGTTGGTCTTAAAGGTGCCATTGGACTCTAACTTTGTTCTGTTGCTTCAGACCAACACGGCTGCCCACCTTGATCTAGTGCCATAAAGTTAGATCTTCTTCATGTTCTCTGTGCATCACAGCTCTGGGATATAGTGCGCCTGCGCCGACCTTGATTGGTTCCTCTTGAAAGCGAAAGGGATTTTCGTGCCCGCTCCCCAGTCACGTGCCAGCCCCACTGCACATGACCAAGGGAGGGGCATGACAATCCCACCAGTTCTCTTAATGACCGCCGCACTCTTAGGATCTTCTCCGCTTTGGTCGGTAAAAAATTTGGACTTTTAGGCCTATGTCTCATTTTTTTCGAAGTTTCTTCGTTTTTCTTCTTGTTTATTTTTGTTAAGTGAAAGGACTTTGTTTCTACGGATTTATTTCCTTTTGGACTCTGTCGTGTGTTTCCCCCCCTCTCCCGGCCTATGGCCAAGAGGTGGGGTTTCTTTAAACGGTGCCTTAAGTGCGGCAGCAAGATCGCCCCCCCCCCCCCAGCCGGCAACTCGCTTTGTCTTTTGTGCCTCGGGGAATCGCACCGAATGAACTCTTGTGCTCATTGTGCAAAGTTTTCGAAGCAGACAAAGAAGAACAGAGCTGCTAGACTTCGTGTTGCGCTTTTGGAGTTAGCGCTTTCACCGATGTCGTCACAGGACACTTCAGGGCATGCATCAATGTTGACTGCTGCCTCGGCATCGATGGCTGCGTTGTCTCTGATACCGACTCACTTAGATGTTGACTGCCTGATGCTGAAATGCTCGGCCCAGACATCTCAGTCCTTAGCCCATACTCCCTCCAAAAAACGCAGGGAAGGCAAGGACAATCGGCCAGTCAAGCTTAAAAAGCATAAGAAAACTCCCCCTACGCAATCTCCACTCATCCCTCGGAGGGTCTCGGAACCGAATCTTGCAGGGGGTGCTTCCCTTGACTCTCAGTGCCAACAGCAGCCACAAGGTGTACCTCGGTCGTTTTCACTGCGTCCTATCCAGCTCACTGACTCTGAGCATGATATGGACTTGACACAGATCTCCCGGTCTTCCAGTGTTCAAAGTCTGCACTCAGACCGCGGAGCCGATGCATCTGTCCGTCCTTCACAGCTCTGACCTGATGATCGAGACCGACCATTGGCACCGATTCACCCTCCTGGGACCAACGGCAGTGGCAATACATGTATGGGGCCTATCCTTTTACAGGCAGTATGCCGTGGTTCCCAACCCGTCAGTCCATCTCTTCATGTCTCTTCTGATATCGAGATCCTGCATCAACACCGGAGTTTGTGAGGCCCCAACTGTTGAGGCTGATGGGCAAACACCCCAGGCTGTCGCACCCGACAATTCCAAAGTTTAAAAATCCATCAGATATGACTCCATCAATACCGATGCCACCTATGCCTTTTCCCGAGCCGTCTGAGCACTCCGCCTCTTCAGATGCTTCCTCCCAGTCGGGACGAAAACCCGATCCTCCGGTGGAACCCTCGCCACCTCAACAAGTGGGCGATGATCTTCCAATCTCCCCTTCGGAAGACTTAAAATCCTCTCAAGTCGTCCTCGGAAACACAGTGGCAACGCTCACCCACTGTGTCCTCCCGCCCTTAAAGGCACAAACCAAAATTCTCATCTGTCTCTCAGCCTAAGGCTTAAGACTCTGAAAGCTTCCAAGCAGAGCCTTTGACTCCTGTCGTCCCACCCCTACCCGCCTGTCTCCCTACCTGGCTGCTTGGCAGCGAATAATATCAGACTGGTGGGTACTGTCCATCATTGAAAAGGGGTACCCCATGGAATTTATCCAGGTACCCGAGGCCCCAATTTCATAACTATTCCACCATACAGTACGTTCCTGGAAGAAATCCAGAACCTTCTTCAAAAGGATGCTATAGAACCAGTCCTGACAGCACAGTATCAACATGGGTTTTACTCCCGTTATTTTATGGTCCCCCAAAAAGACGGAGGACTCTGTCCTATTATGGACCTCAGGGGACTCAACCAATTTATCTCCTATCGGGAATTCCAAAGGACAACAGTGCCCAGAGTCTTTACAAAAATTATGATTGTCATTGCGGCATACCTCCGTCTCCAGAGTGTACATAGACTATTAGTTGCTGTAGCAAACTCCAGAGAAACTCTGCTGTAGCAAACTCCAGAGAAACTCTGCTCAACCATATCAATTTAATGCTGGTCACCCTAGATGTTTTGGGCCTGCGGGTGAACCTGAAAAAGTCAATGCTCCTTCCTTCATTGAGAGTCCAGTTTATTGGAACAATTTCGGATTCGACTGTCTGCCGAGCCTTTCTCCCTCCCAAGAGGGTGGTAGACATTATCGGTCTCATCAACCTGATAAAAACACAGGGCGATACATCAGCAAAGCAGATTCAATGGCTCTTGGGTCTGATGGCCGCCACCATTGCGGTACTTGTCTTCGCCAGACTACAGATGAGACCACTTCAGCTGTGTTCCCTCAAATGTTTCCATCCACAGTGGCAACCCCAATCTCAACGGTTCATGCTACCTGTGCAAGTGCTGAATTCCCTGCAGTGGTGTGAAACTCCAGACAACCTCCTTTAGGGAGCCCCATTTCTTGCACCCAGCTCCGAAATGACCCTAATCACGGATGCATCCCTGTGGGGATGGGGGGCTCACCTCCAAGGTGTGTGTGTGGGTGCCAAATGGGAACCTCATGTGGCCCACAAACACATCAAGTTCCTGGAGCTGCTCGCCATCCAGTATGCCCTAAGGTCCTTTTGCCACCTCGTGGCTCACCGTACGGTGGCAATCCTGACAGGCAACACCACCGCACTGTGTTACCTGAACAGGCAAGGCGGGACAGTGTCCAGGGAACTCTGTTGACTGGCCTGGGAGATTTGGACCAAGTGTCAATCCCAGGTGTGTTCATCATTGCTGCTCACCTGCCAGGATTGCTCAATGTATATGTGGACTTTCTGAGCACAGGAGGTGCATCCCTTCACGAGTGGGGACTCAACTGGGCTTACCTCCAACCAATTTTCCACAGATGGGGTCACCCAGAAATCGATGCATTTGTGACGCGTCAGAATGCGAAGTGTTGTCTGTCCTGTACCAGGGTGGGACAGGACCCTCTGTCTCTGGGGGACGGCCTTTTGTTCCCATGGTCCCACAGGCACATGTACCTGTTCCCACCTATTCCTCTACTAACCAGAGTGCTGAGCAAGATCATGAAGGAACAACCTCAATGCATCCTTGTGGCACCATGGTGGTCATGTCAGCACTGGTTCCCAACTTTACTCCACATGTCCCGGGACACATACATACATCTCCCCCCGGCACCAGATCTCCTCCTGGCTCAGGAGGGTCGAGTGCTTCATCACGATGTACCACACTTCTAACTCACAGCATGGAGAATCCCTTAGCACAGCTCAGTAACAGGATAGACCTTCTTCTGTTGAACTGTTGGAAGCCAGCTACTCATGCTTCCTATGAAGGGAAGTGGAAGAATTTCCTGTCGTACCTCAAGTTGTTGGGTTTACCACTGCCCCCTAAGGACTTAAGGATAGTTTTCGGATTCTTGTTGACCCGCCTGGACTTGGGTCTTAGTTGCTCTTCTTTAAGAGTCTACTTAATCGCAACTTCTGCGTATCATCCTGTGGTGGATGGCTATTCCATTTTTTCTCACCTGCAAATGAAGCAGTTTCTGAAGGGCCTCACTCGCCTCTTTCCTCCAGCTCGTGGGCCGACTCTCTCCTGGGACTTACCTTTAGTACTGTCCAGATTAACAGGCAAACCGTTTGAGCCCATGGCCACATCTAGCCTGCAGCTTCTCTCGTGGAGACTGCCTTCCTAGTAGCCATTACCTCATCAAGACGTGTGAGCGAATTGTCTGCACTCCGTTGCTATTTTCTGTATTTGGTTTTTCACCATGATGGTGTCACCTTGGCCCTGGATGTGTCTTTCCAGCCCAAGGTTGTTTCTGAGTTCCATTTGCGAGTGGACATTGCTCTTCCAATATTTTTCCCGTCCCCTACGAGCAATGAGGAATTACTGTAGACGTCAAGAGAGCCATACTCTTCTACCTGATAGGACAAGGTCATTCCATCAGTCACCAGCCTTGTTCATCTCCTATAGCACACCTGTGCTGGGGAAGAAGTTTTCTTCGCAATGTCTATCCAAGTGGATTGTGGAAACCATGAAACTGTGTTACTTACTGGCCAAACAGCCACTTCTGGGCCCGCTCCAAGCTCATTCCACTCGGGCAGTAGCCACGTCCACAGCCTTCCGGAGAGGTTCGTCGCTCACTGACATCTGTCAAGCAGCAGCCTGGGCTACCCCCCACACGTTCGTGAAGCATTATGCCCTGGATGTGCGTCTTCATCAACGTTCTGTGATGGGGCAGGTAGTGTTGCAGGTGGTGCAAGTCTAGGACCTTCAGCTCCCTACTCCAGGTAGGCCTGTTTTTTGCTTGCTAATCTCCCAGAGGTGTAATGCACAGAGACCACGAAGAAGATAAACAGGTTGCTTACCTGTAACTGATGATCTTTGAGTGGTCATCTGTGCATTCACACCACCCGCCGTCCTTCCCCTCTGCTTTCGGTCCTCTCCTTTTTTATTACTCTTGAGTCTGATGGCAGTGGTCAGAAGAAACTGGCGAGATTGTCCTGCCCCTCCCTTGGTCATGCACAGTGAGGCCGGCGCATGACTGGGGAGCGGGCGCGAAAATCCCTTTCGCTTTCAAGAGGAACCGATTGAAGTCGGCCCAGGCGCACTATATCCCAGAGGTGTGAATGCACAGATGACCACTCAAAGATCATCAGTTACAGGTAAGCAACCTGTTTATATTCCTCAGATGCACCTTTTCAAGTGGGGTTGAGCTATAGAAGACATGAGAAAGTGAGAATGTTCTGTTCTACTCTGTGAATTCTTTGCATCCAGTTCATAGGGGCTGATATTCATAAATCATATGCAGAAATATCAGGTCCTCTAAAAGTGTTATGCTACATGTATAAACTTGGTTTACATACATTGTGCCCATCCTTTAAAGGGTTGTGGGGGTTTTTGCACATGTGGTGTTAAAGCTTTTAGTTGATCATATATTGAAATGAGAGAAAGTGAGAATTGACATTGTAGAGATTGTAAAAGGAAATAGTTGTGTACTCCCACAAAAGTACTAGAAGTTTGGCACAAGATCACATGTTCGTTTAAGCTCCTTTTAAGGCAGCAGAAAAGGAAGCATTCAAATTTGGCTTTTCCCTCTAATAGGTGACTTTTAAGTTTCAGTTGCTAGATTCCTATGTGTTGCCTAATTTTATGCTTTAACTAGATGCTCTCTGAACAATTTTTGAAATTTCTTGCTATTGTTTTCACAATGCATTGTTTGTCAAGAAATTGCTGCATTTCTCCTATGAAATCTCAGCACGTTTTAGAGTTTTCTAGATAGTTCTAGGGTACACTGTAGCACAATGTGAACTGAAAGTATAATCCAAAAATGCCTTCAGTGTTCCCTTGTTGTTGTGGGTTAAGTTTGGTAGTGGTAGGTAAACTTACCTGTTTTGGATAAGCATGTCCACCATTTTCAAACAGTCATAAGATTACTGGGAACATAGGTGAGAACCTGTTCCCTGTAAAAAATAAAGGAATTTGAAATAACAGGTTTTCTCATTTCCTTTTCCTACAGAAGCTCCCTAGACCTCCAGAAAACCCTCTGCTGTGGGTTGGGGGGACTGTCGTGAATGGTAAACCATGCAGAGTGGTATATTGAGCTGCAGTAAGAAGGGAAAATTTTATTAAATCCCCTCCCCATGCGTTAGTGGAGGAAGCATCAGAGCCAGATAGTGGATACTCAAAAGGATTTTATGGAGGATACTGGTGGCTCCTGGGGAAAAGGGAAGATCCGTTCCTCTGCTTCTGTTCCTTTTTGGGAACTAGGATGTAACCCATAGGTTGAAAACCACTGCTCTAGGATATTACTGAGATAAAAAACATTGCTCTACTTCTGTTCCACAACTCTGTTTTTGTTATTGGTAATTTTGCACCAGATTCTCATATAATCTATGTTAAATGTGTCTTGTTTGGAGCAGAGCACCAACAGATTGGATAGTGACAGAATATCAACATCCAGCACAGCTGAACGAGGCATGGTGAAGCCAATGATAAGAATAGAACAGCAGCAGGATTATCGGAGGCAGGATGGCAGGTACCAAAAGGCATTCTCTCAGAATGAAATCGCTGTTTTGTTTTTGGATAACGGAAGCATGTTTGAACCAAAACTTGATACTGATGTGCTCTTGTTTATTATTTTACATGGATAAAAAATGGCTTTGCAAGGGACTCCATAATTCCTCCCAAATAAAGTAATGTGTATTTTATTTAATCTATTAGATAACAGAGCATGAAGGTACTTTATCTGATCAACACTGAAGCCACTAGAAGGAATTTTCTACCAGTCCTCCCCATAGGTTATAATTAACTCAACCACTTTTGTTCATGCCTGCGTGTGTGTGTGTGTGTGTGTGTGTGAGAGAGAGAGAGAGACAGAGAGAGAGAGAGAGAGAGTAAGTGAGTGAGAGAGTCCTCCTTGTATGGCTTCTCACTTAGTCCTTAAACCAGACTCTAAATCTGCAACATCAGCAGTGGAGGTAGCAATTTTTAGGATGGTCTAAATCTGAGAGTTTCAAAAGTCAGTGGTAGACTTAAAACATATTTACTTTGTGTGTGTGTGTAATTACCATTTATATAAATCTCACCACTGTCTTCTCAGGATTTTACTGCAGTAGCAGTTGTCATTCTAGAGGAATTATCCCTTCTCTGTAAGTTTCTTAGTTCCTTTTCAAGGCCAAGCTAGCTTTGTGTGGTCACATGACAGTTACCACTGTACTTTGCCACTAAACAGAAAGACAAAAACTTTCTTCGGGCCTGGAAGTGAGTGTGATCTGGAAGTGCGGACAGATGCCCGGAGTCCCTAGGTATACTATACTATGTGGACTTAGAGCATGATTGAGTATATCTGCCAGTATTTTGCTCATATGAAATACAGATTAAAGACCATGATGTTGAACATGTTCAGTGATGCTGCATGCGACTGTCAGTATACAAGACCTCAAACGGGCAATTCTAGAGATTTCTGCAATAATGTGAGGATGCTATGATTTATGAAGTTAGGGCGTACTTTCCCCATCTTTCAAGATAACAAAACACATTGGAGGTACAGAAATGTTTGGCATAGTGTTAAAAAAGGCTGTAGGGTCACATTCACCAAAATAAGACTGCTGGACTATCTAAAGTGGCAAGCAGAGAAGAGTTTGAGTGAACAGGATGGAAACAGTGACAGCATTTTACAAAGGCTATATAGAAGAGCACCAGCAGCAGAAAGGGTTTGTGAACCTTGTCTTCATTTTCCATGATGAGAAATTATTTCTGTGAGGAAGGAAATAAAAAGGGTATATCACAGCTGTGCAGATGAGAGTGGACCAAAAAATACATGAGTGTACATTAAAAACAGGACAGATGCAAGGGTTCTGGTAGTTAGCATTTCGAATGTCATTATAAGAACATAAGAGATGACAGTGTTGAACCAGGCCAATGGCCCATGCAGTCCAACACTCCGTCACACAGTGGCCAAAAATACCAGGTGCTATCAGAAGGTCCACCAGTGGGGCCAGAACACTAGAGGCCCTCCCGCTGTTGCCCCCCCCCAAGCACCAAGAATACAGAACAACACTTGCCCCAGACCAAGAGTTCCTATCTGTACCTTGTGACTAATAGCCACTGATGGACCTCTGCTCCATATGTTTATCCAAATTCCTCTTGAAGCTGTCCATGCTTGTAGCCACCGCCACCTCCTGTGGCAGTGAATTCCATGTGTTAATCACTCTTTGGGTGAAGAAGTACTTCCTTTTATCCGTTCTAACCTTGATTGCTCAGCAATTTCGTTGAGTGCCCACAAGTTCTTGTATTGTGAGAAAGGGAGAAAAGTACTTCTTTCTCGACCTGCTCTATCCCATGCATAATATTGTAAACCTCTATCATATTATCCCTCAGCCGTCGTTTCTCCAAGCTAAAGAGCCCCAAGCGCTTTAACCTTTCTTCATAGGAAAGTGTTCCAACCCTTTTATCATTCTAGTGGCCCTTTTCTGCACTTTTCCCAATGCTATAATATCCTTTTTGAGGTGTGGTGACCAGAACTGCACACAGTACTCCAAATGTGGTTACACCATTGATTTATACAGGGGCATTATAAGGATGTGCATTGTGATCTATCTTTCTCTAAGGAAACAACAAAAAAGACAATGAGGTGAACAACAATGCACTCATGCAGTCATATATGTTTTACAGTTTCATGTTCTTATCCTAAACTGTTCTGATACATCAAAACTTATAATTCCCAACAAGGTGTCTGATAAGATTACTTATCTGACTGCTAGGCTTTAATCTGAAATGCAACTGAGAAAAGTATCAGCCCTCATAGTGTCAGCCCTTTTAGTGTCAACTAAATAGCTCTTTTGAAGGAAAATAGTATCATAGTTTATGGGAAGAGACTCTTTGTTTTCTCCAAGATGAAAATAGGTTGTTAGTGGTTGTTCCAGACAGTGTAAGATGTAATTATTAATTTTTCTTTTTATGTTCAGGGGCTTTCTCATTATCTGGAGAAGTGTTTATTAGTTTGTTTTCTGCCAAGGTGGGGCACAGAAATTCAGGAAGCAAAAGGCCCTGTCATAAAAAGGATCAAGATGCTGGTGTGATCATTTAATCAGGACATATGACACTGCTTATGGGCAATGTTGAACTCGTATAGAGGCTAGACAGACTTAGAAAAGGGGTATGTGGAGCACACAAGAAGATGACACTGCCTAGTATCTCCAAAAATAAGCAGCTACAATCAGTCATCTTCTGCCAGTCACCATTAAGAGTCATGTCATCTTAGAGTTAGGTTGAAGAAAGTCTCAGGCAAATGGGACACATAAGGTGAATGGAATTGCAATACCGATGAAAATCTTTGCTGATACACCATGCATCCAAAACACAGGTAACAGATTGTTTCTGTTGAAGATTAACAGCTTCCACCTGTTACTGGTGAATGAGTTCAACCATACCTATTGAAAGCCCAGCATAGTTTGAAGGAGATCTTTTAAGCAGCAGAGGTTACTTGGAACAAGAATTGATCTTGAGTGTTTGCAAGCAGGGCTTTTTTTTTACATCATCTTGTATCCTGACTCTGTCTTCTACCATATTTGCTACCCCTCCCAATTTAGTATCATTTGCAAATTTAATACGCATTCTCTCTATTCCTTCATTCAAATCATTTATAAAGATGTTGAACAAAACAGGTTTTACAGGACAGATCCTTCAGGCACTCCACTTGTCACTCCTCTCCCAAGAAGATGAGGAACCATTCACAAGCGCTTTTTGGGTGAGATCTGTCAACCATTTACAGATTCACAAACCACATTTTACCAACTTGTCAACAAGAATATTATGTGGACCCTTATCAAAAGCCTTACTGAAATCAAGATAAACTATGTCTGCAGCATTCCCCCAATCCAGCAAGGTAGTAACTTTCTCAAAAAAAGAGATAAAGTTAGTCTGACATAACTTGTTCTTGAGAAACCCATGCTGGCTCTTAGTAATTACAGCCATCCTTTCTAAATGCTCAAGGACTGACTGTTTGATGAAGCAGGAAGGGAGATTTTGCCCACGTTCCTCCTCACTGCAGCCCACTGTCCTGCATGGCTACTACTACACATGGTTCCAACCAATGTTCCCTCTAAGCAATGTTACAGTTTTTTACCCTCCGGCTCACATTTTTGTCTTAGCTCAGGAAGGATGGCTCCAGAGCAAACTAATTTATGCAGTAGTCAAATTGCTTGCTCACAACTTTAATGCCAGCAGCTCACAAAGTAGGATTTTTGCTCAAGACTCCACAGCTTAGAGGGAGCACTGGTTCCAACAATCCTAGGAATCAATTTTCCCAGAGTTAGAAATGGGTGTGGATAGGTGAGGGGAGATTCATGACCGTCAGCACCTTCCACTGACAGATTGCTGGATCCAGCCCTGTATGTGACTCACACATCCAACACTTCCTTAGGTACACATTCACCATTCTCTGACCTTGATGTCACACCTAAGCTCATTTTTGAAGTAGAAACATTTCTGCAGCTCACACTTGGTGCAACTGCAGGCGAGAAGATCAAACGTGACCTCATGTAAACATCTGAAACCTAATACTATGAGGAGTATGATGGTTTGTTGGCCCTCTAGGGCAAATGACTGGCCACTGTGTGAAACAGGATGATGGACTGGATGCATTGCTAGTCTTATTCAGCAGTGTTATTCTTATGTTCTTACTGGCAGATCCTTCTTCAAGTGTTGCTGTTTCTGTGATGCTTACATACAGATCTTTCAAAGTTTGTCATATACATGGATTTAAGTTTTAATGGCTAAGACTAAATAGTTAGGATGTATAGATGGTAATAGAATAATATATATGTTTGTATATGAAATTAATTACAAGTAGGATAGATTGTGTTTGTGGTGTTTCCTCCCCCCCTCCTCCTAGACCTCCTGACCAGGATGAGGAGGGGGATGCTGCCCTCCTTGAACAGTTTGACAGGGTATCCAAACAACATGATCTGGTAGTTACGGGTGAACTGTCTGGCCGACAACTTCCTTCATCAAATGGTGGAGGAAACTATGAGAGGCTCGGCCATACTCAACTTAATATTGACCAACAGGCAAGAGATGGTAGATGGGGTGAAGGTGGTGGGGACTTTACGGGGAAGTGACCATGTCCTGCTGGAATTCCTTTTGCTGTGGGGGACGAAGGAAGTTTGTAGCCACATGTGTATGTTAGATTTCAGTAGGGCAGACTTTAATAAACTCAGAGGCATGATGAGAATCATTCCATGGGGGGAGAGTGCTGAAGGGGAAAGGAGCAAGTGAAGGGTGTGCTCTCCTAAAACAAGAACTCTTGCAAGCTCAAGCAATCGCTATTCCAAAAAGAAGGAAATATGGTAGGGAATCCAAGAACAGAGAACTTGTGATGTGCTAAGAGAGAAAAAGGTAATGTTCAAAAAATAGAGGCAAGGACATACCTCTAAAGAGTATCTGCGGGTTAATAGGCACTGTAGGTCAGCCATCAGAGAGGCCAAAGCTCACAGTGAGCTACAGCTGGCTAGGGAAGCTCTCTACAACAAGAAA